CATTATATGGGTAAACCAATAAAAATACACCATACCTTTTTTTTTTGTAAAAACTTTTAGCAAAAATTAAATAATATTTGTAAAAAAATTTTTTAAATAAATTTTACAAGTTTTTAGGATTGATTTAAAAAATTTTATTAAATTTATCAAGTTTTGGTTGAGTTATTCTTGTTTAAAGGTTTAAAAAAAAATTTATATAGAAAAAATATGGTCCATTTCTGCTAACTCAACCCATATCAGTAAATTGGGTTTGATCTGATTTCACAACTATTTTTCATTATATTGAAACACTATTATCAAACTATTTGTGATTTAAAACTTAGTACATACTCACCATTACAAGCAATTCTGATTTGTCAAGCAATTTCGAATTGACAAACGAACTGATCGAACATATTCATAATAAAAACAAAATAGTCTACAAGTTAATTATTTGTTTGAGTTATTCTTACTATTCATTTTCTAATTTTTCTTTTTTTTTTCAAACATCTCTGACATTACCCGATAAACGCTTTAATCTACGGAGTCTGAAAGTGGAAACTAAAAAAAAAAATTTCAAGTTTCAGATTCCATATAAAACTAATTGTATAGACTTATTAATTTTTGAACAATTGACTTTATTAAAAAAATTACTACATTTACACATAGACTGATAAAACTTATAATGAACAAGCAGTAATTTTGAAATAATTAGGGTTAAGCTCGTTGAAAGAGAATCAACTGAATTTTAAAAATTTATTGGCTGAATTGATTCATCAAAAATCTCAGCAATTATTAAAGGTTTTTGTTAAATGAATATATAATGAATTTTTCATCATTGTAAAAAAAATATTTCTCATGTAACAGCCAATCAGAGATTGTGTTTGGATCATGCGCAAGCAGGGATGGTAAATGACTGGAAATGACCCAAATGACCCAAATGACTGGTCATTGGGTCATTTCACATTCAAATGACCCATAAAAGGTCATTTAACATTTGTTAACTGATAATCTAATGCCTTTTAGCCAATTAAAATTGATTATCAGGCAAAAAGTTGTTTTTATAGTAATCGTAGAAGTCAAAATTTTACTATGTTAATTGATATTTATGTCTTAAGTAGTTTCGAAAATAATATAATAAAAAGTTATCCGAATTATATAAAATTTCAAGATACAGTATATGCAATTTGTTTTCTGAACAACTTTACTAAAGATGTAAATATCGATTAACTTAGCAAAGTTTTGACTTTTATATGTAGTTACTATTATAGTTTAGTGAAATCATAGTATTTGGTAACTTTTTATATTTGCTATCCGACCAATAAAATTACTTTATATGCAAATGACCCAAATGACCAATGACCAAATGATCTGTGTCATTTAGCCAAATGACTAGGTCATTTAAATTTTGAGTAAATGACCAGGTCATTTACCATCCCTGTGCGCAAGGCACTCTGAGTGCACATGATATTACTGAGTATTTTTCTATTGGCTATCCTTAGCTGTACACACATTCAAAGTGCACATGGAGATATTATATATATATATATATGTAACAATATCTATTTCTATCGGACGTTCTTTAAATGCAGTTGTTATTAATATAATATAATAGGCCTAGCAGATAATGCAGATAGCGATAAGATAAATAAATAGAATAAACAGGTCTAACAGATAAGATAAATAAAAGATAAGCCTAATTGTAACAGGTAATTACACGATTATTTTTACCAGATTACTTAGCACAACCAATAAAAATTTATTTTACAGTCTAGTGCATAGAAATAAATATGTATCATTGGCTAACTTTAAAGTTGTACAATTGTACATGTTATGAACCACGGATTTATTTTTGTGCTGGACACAATCCTAAAAGGAAATTCTTAAAGGGATTATTTAACGTTAAAGGATAGGAATTTAATATGTCATCTTTAATTATGACTATTTTTCTTTTTAAAGAGTTTACATAGCCGGCACAAGTAAGTAAATCTATAATACAGATTCTCCCAACTTATTTTAAAGAATCGAATATCGATGTTTTAATAAATAGGGTGATTCAAACATAACGCTCAGGATTTCTGATTTCGAATTAAATTAATGATGTAATTATTTGAAATCAGTGATTCGTAAACTTTATTTATTTTGATTTGTAATCTTATTTATATAATAATATATAATAATTAATACTTTTTACGGTCGTAAATATTCTTTCGAATTTTATATTTTTCAAATAAATATTTTATAATGCCTAATATGTTTAATCGATAATTAAAAATAATATTTTAGAAGTACTAATAAGGAGCTCGTCTAAAGCCAGGTAGTTTCTAAATTGATTACTAACAAATTTATAAATTAAAAATCACATGATGAATATAAATAATTACCTAGCTTTAGACGATCGTAATATCATTTTTTGATTTCAAAATTTCAAACTTTTTAAACCCCACTTATTTTCAAAATAAGTTAACTTTGAATTACCCTAATAAATGATTCACTGCCACTAACTTATTTTTTGAATGCTGATAGATATATATGACTAATCAAGTGCACTAATTTTAGAAATAGCCGAATTTTACTTAAATTTCTTTAAATTTATGAAGCTTCACAAATTTGTATAATGTAAATGAACCTTCTTCTGAAATTAATGAGAATAAAAAAATGAGAGAGAGAGCACCAACAAAAAATTTTCGCATCATATGATATGCTTCTCCTGGAATTAATTAATGAACAGCAAGAACCGTCAATGTTACACGACTGATCTTTCACCCGGTGTGAACCATATAAAGAATTAATTTACAATACCGCTAGTACATGTTATGATTATAATCCAACATCATTTTTATTATAATAAAATGGTGTTGGATAACATGTACTACCGGTATTGTAAATTAATTTTTTTATATGGTTCACACCGGGTGAAAGATCAGTCGTGTAACATCGACGGTTCCTGTTGAATTAATGAGGAAAAAAAATTCTTATACATCATATGGTGTAATTCCAGAGCACTAATGGTTAGACTTTATTTATTGGTACTAGTATTGTGTTTATAATACAATGACCGATCAAAATGCATATATGTATATAAAAAAATATTATCAATTATAAAACAAAGAAAATTTGAAGCGCGACGAAAATAAAAAATCTTTAACCAAAAATTTAGCAACGTGCTGCATTTTGCTCTATTTATTTGATCGAATTATTTTTTGTAAGTAATGAATGAATAATTCTAAATAGTATTATTTACAGCTTCATGTACGATGAAAGATTCTAAATTTGTTTTACTTTAGCAAATTTTGGCACCTACGGCCGACATTAACAATGATTAATCAGATGATCAAGATGGCCAGAAGGCTATAGGACATACAGGACACACAAGTTACACAATACACAAAATGTCTAAAACAGTTATTGTTTCGTTCAAACTAATCATAATACTTAATATATACGTAAATAACATATAACTTATAATCAAATGACTTTTGCTTCATTGAATAATTGACATAATGATATATTTTGTTAACATTTATTTTTCTTAGTTGTACACACTATTCCAGACAAAAAAAAGGAGATATAATAAGGATATTTTTTTTTTTGTGTTCAGCTGTCAAAATTTGATAGGTAACATGGCTTTGTAGATTTTGAGCATGAGATCATATTTTCTAACAATAACTTAGGCTAGACACGTTTCACTTTCATCCTTAATCATATTTGGAAGTTTAATAATTATTGCGCGTGATTCGATAAGTTTAATTGGTTCCTTCATGGAAACAAACTCTTAGTTTTCTTTGGAAATGTACGAAATTTTCTTATAAAATCCAACTATCTGTCCTTTTTTTTTTTTAAATCAAAGCATTATTTACTATATACATATTTTTTCACACATATATTTTATTAAAGAAAAAAAAAAACAAAAAAAAACAAATTAAAAAAAATGGCACAAAGTAACATTAACATCCCAACGCTCGCCCATAGAATCATAGTAATCGCGAGACTCCATTGCCCTACATTCCGAAGCACGGAAGAATTGGCAAGAAATTACAGTGGCAATTGCAACATTTCACATTTTGGTGCTTTACTTCTTACAATAGTACCAACTTGTAATTCGATAAATATTTACAGACACAAAATAATCCGAAAGGTTGCTAAATATATTTGGAGAAATTTTAGTCTTTATCAAAAAGGTTTCTTCACCAATCTTGCTAATAGAATTAATCGATACCTATCCAGGCAACGTGGTGGTCAAACTACTGATTATTCTAGTCAAGAAGCTGCTAATGATTTTTTTTATGGTTATGATTTTCATTAATTATAACTAAATTAAAACGAAAGTTGTTTTAGTGTTTAATTATGTGAACTTAGTCATGTGTGTAGCACAATCCTTAATAACTGTAGTAAAAAATGCTGTATGATTTAATTTAAAAATCACTAGAAGTGATGCTTTTACACTGTATGTGCTTGGTTATTATTGTTAGATTTTATATATAGGATTTTATTTTAAAAATTTTACTTAAAATTAGACTTTAGGTTTAGAATATGATTTAAAGTGAAGGTTAGGCTATTAGAGTGCTAAACGTTTTTACTCAATACTAATTACCAAACTCATTTTTGAGAGTTAGCGTATACTTATATATTATATGTTTATAGAACTAGTTGAAGTTTTATAAATGATTGTATGATTTTTAAGCTTTCTCCCATGCTTTATAGGATTGTGCTTTTTATTCGTTATGTAATAAGTTTTTTAATAAAAAAAAAAAAAAAGAAAAAATTTTGTGCAAGAATAAATCTTTACATTTGAAGAATTTGTTTAATAATAGAAATTATTATTCAAATGTATTTAAACTGTATAATTGCTACTAAAACTTGACCATCACTTTAGAACTCTTTAGCAGGGAAGGAAAAATTTAACCGAACAAATAAAATGAATAATCAATATATTTTGGAGTAATAAATTCTATTATAATAAATTAGAAATTTCGACCAAGCTGTTTGAGTTAATCGATTGGTTAAAATCAATATATGCATTATATTGGTATGGAAATATTGCTTTCGAGTGCAAAGAATATGTGCCAAGTATTGGCGATATAATCATATAGTTGGTTATAACTATCCGATTGGTTTCAAAAGGGGATGATATTAACCGATGTTTTAACTATTACTTTTACTATGAATGGCCTGATTATATAAAGTTAGCATACGTCACGCTAACACAAGTCAGCCTTAAAGTATTGATTGTCATGTGCGAATTTCGAAGGTCCGTATATCTACATAACATCACATATATGAATATATATATTATGTAATTGTTAATATAAAATTATATAAGCGTAAAGTCATTTAACAATTTATGTTTCTTATTACTAAAGATTCGTAGAATGTATAAAATGCTTTAAGATATTATGCAAAGTCATATAAGTTCATGTAGTTCTTACTTAGTAATTTTGTAAAAAAAAAAATTGTTCATGATGGCTGTTATTTGTTATGAAATCAATACTGTACCAATTAATAATTTTTTTTTAGAATTGTTTATTGTTAGTACAAAATAAAGGCTACTACGTTTTTTATTCAAATATTAATGGTCGGTTGTTAGTTTAAGGTTTTGCGTATTTAAGTATTATGTAGGTTCTTTGATTTATTCTTGTTAATACGGGTTTAATGTTTAATTGTTTAGGAATTACCCAAATGTTGTATTGAATATGTACTTTATTATGTATATTTAATATCGTTATGATTGTTTAAATTTACAAGTTTGATTTACCCTTCCCTCTGGTGAAAGCCAGTTCTTTTTATACTTCCCCACTTTGTATGTCACAACAATTCTCATCATAATAAAGAAAAATAAAGTAATCCACTAGACGAAATTATTTAGATGAGATTCGCTAATAATTTCACGTTAACTTAATGTGTTGCAATAATTTCTCATTTCTTTAGATAATATTCGATTGTCTAATGTACATTCTTATCGGCTCCAATCCAATATTAAACGTTTCTCAATAAGCTTTGCCACTGCCGTTTTTTTTCAATCTTTCGACATCGGTCCCAGATTGAGGATTATCTTGATCAATTCTACCTCCGTGATCTTGATATAGTGATCGGGGTATTTATAATAAAAATACACCGATTTTTTTATTATGTACACACATATAACTGAGAGGTATTTTAGTAGTTTTTAAGCATAACCGGGATATTACCCTTTAATAACAACCCGGGAAGTTATTATAGCATATTTTAATTAATGTTTTTTTTTTTTTTTCTTTTTTTTTTTTTTTTTTACATTTACAGCTTAAAAAAAAAAACCAATTAAACGACTAAGAAAAATTGTAACTTTACAATTAGTAAAGTTAAAACTTAAACCCTTAGACTGAAATCCTTGAGCAGTAAGTGAGGATCGAGATCGGGTAGGTGAGTTGGCCCGGTCTTCTTTGCTTTTATCATTCTTATCGATATTTTCATCGTCGGATTCATTGTTACTTTCATTTTCACAGTTAATTCTATCATTACCGTCACCTTCATTGCTTTCTTCAGTTTCATTTTTGTAAATATAAAAATTTAAATATTTTTAAATTAATAGCGTGTAATAAATATAAAATATAATATGTTGTACCATTTGTGTACCAGATGGTACTACAAGTTTTGCAATGTTGACCCGCTGCTGTTCATTCTGTGTGCGGTACATATTATATGCCCTCTACTATACGATGCTTCATGATATTCATAGACATCCACACCAGCATCATTTAGTTTTCGAGCCGTATGTAAGAGAATGTTTGACAATTTTTCTACAGTGCAATTGATACCCGTAATGGAGCAAATTTTCTTCATAAACTAGGATAACTTTCACGACCTAAATGGCGGTTTGAACACCAAATATCATTTAAAAAGTATAACTAAATATAAGAAGAAAAAAAAAAAAACAGAAAAAAAAAAACAGAAAAAAATATAGTACATATACCAAAATAATCAATAAGTGGATGAAGAAAAAATTCTTCGTCTACATTAGATCGTTTTGACATATAGAGTTTGCCTATGCACCTTTTGGGTATATTTGTTTTTTGAATTTTTTTTTCGAATTTTGGATGGATCACCATAAGTAGAATGAAAATCGGAAGCTTTAATAAAAGAACGTTTCATTTTTATTTTTTTAAAAGAAGGAAAGATACGGTATTTGATTATTAATTAATTCGATATCATTTTATATCAAGACTTTAATTACGTACGAACTAATGACGTATCTTATCATGTGAGAGGTCAGGGTATTAATTAATAATAACCAAATTCAATTCCTTTCACGTAACAACTCCTAACAATATTTATTCCAATTGCATGATCCTTATTTGTGGATTTTTGATAATCAACTAGTGTCATATGTTCATTTTTTCTATACCAACATCAAAGATCGTTAATTTCCTAGCCATTTCCTATATTAACTGTTTAAGATTTTGGTAATCAAAGAAACTCACCTTTATTCATTTAATGATAATTCTATTTTCATAACGATATATAACCTGTATATTCCATTAACCTTGATGATCGATAAACACTTCACGTTCATCTTTTTCAGCACTAGCTCCATTTTGATGACAATGGTAGTGTTGATACATTCTACTATAAATCATCTCTACGAGTCTTAGACAGCATCTTAATACACTATTCTCATCATTTTTGGCTCCAGTCCCGTCTTGATACCATGTCCAGGTTGTATTTTACGAATAGCTTCTTCTAATATGTTTCTTTTACTAACACTGGTCTCAGCATTATAAAGCTTCAAACAAATCATTACAATGTTTTTAAGCCAATCTCTACTAATACTCTTATCAGCTGAAGTCCAAGCTTATCGTCACCTTAAGTCTTTTTGAATTACACCCGAAATACCAATACTAATACATTTCATGCTTGTTGATCAAGTCTATGAAGTGACAGAACTAATGAGAGAAAATTTGTGTTTGAATAAAGATTATTTTTCAGTATTTGAGGTAAAGGTGCCATTTTGACTGCTTACCGCTTTATTCTCATCCCTTTTGACTCTAGTCCCATTTTGACATGTTCAAGATATATATTTCTTCGTTTTCCATTTTACTTCCCTTTCGTTCACTCGGCATTATTCATAACATTTCTTCGCTTTATTCTTACTTGATCACTGCCACATAATCACTCACATTAGCAGATTTTTGATATTTTATACAGGTTGAATCAATGAATAACGGGTACATATCGGAAGACAAATCTCCCGATATGTACCCATTATTCTACCATAGATCCGCCAAATAACTGTAGCATATCGATAGCATATTGGTAGCATATAGTTTAGATATTGAGAGGTAGAACGATAATGGTAACATACTTGGACATTCCGGTATCTTACTCTTAGTCCAAATAGTGCTAAAAGTAAGATACCGGGATGTCCCAGTATGTTACTGTTATGTTACCATTATCGATCTACCTCCCGATATCTAACCTATATGCTACCAATATGCTGCGGATCTATGGTAGAACAATGGGTACATATCGGGAGATTTGTCTTCCGATATCCATTGATTCTGCCTGTGTTATGTTCATTATTTTCACCTGATCCTATATTAATAATAAATATATAACCAATTTTTACAGTTTTTGATAATGTATCATGTTCATTATTTTCAATGCTAACTCCATCACGATGAGAAAACTAACATTAAATTTCTATTAATGTTACTCACCTCTGCAGATTTTTGATAATGAATGGACGCATCTTCTCTTTTTCAGCACTATTATCAAGATCTCCAGCTTTTTTATCGTTTATGATAGATAAGTTGACTTCGTTTGACTTGTTACCATCTGTCATTCTAATCACATTTCTTATTTTATATTCCAAATCTATTTCCGCCATTAACGCCAACTTCAGCCTTGTGATGGTAACCTAATTATAAAAAAAAATCTTTTATCTTCCGGAACTTCACCATTCATTGCTATCACTTGAGCGTACATTTAGGCATATACCCAGCTACTATCGCTAACAAATAATTGGTCAATTAGAATGTGCTAGAACTTGTGGACAATCTGTAACGCAAATGGTTGTTTTTAAGGGATTGATAAAAAATTTTCGAATTGTATCCTGATGTGGATTAACAGGCAATGCGGGTGTTTTTACTATCAGAAGTTCATAGGCAGATCTACCTGCGATTATTAGCCAATCAAAATTCATAGCTTTATTGCAAAATTGAAATTAACTACAGTATTAACGAAAAACTACAAGGAAACGAAAGCCTTTTACGTAGAAAGAAAATCATAAGTCAAAAAAATATATCCTATAAACGTATAAAGAAAATATAATAAAGCGATTATTACTTTTAGCAAGCTTAAACAATCTATATTTCACTATATATAAACCAAGACCTTTAACAAATCTTAATACGCTTCAAGACCTGATATAACTTAAAGCCTATCCTATGCATTATATTAGACCTCCTTATTAACAGCCTTGTTTTGTCTAAAAACCCAACTAAAGATCTTTTAATCTAAAAAAAGGAAAAATAGTTATTCCGTTAGAAACTGTTTCTATTTAGCAGTTTAAAAAAAATTTAGAAAAGGCTTTTTTTTTCTTTACCTAGTTCAAAAAGTCGTTATTAAGCAATCTCCTCTTAAATTAGAGATTATTTTTGAAGTTAGCTTTCTAGAACCTCTTCGAAGCTAGAAATGATATTTGTTAAGGGTAGTTACTTGTTTAATGTTACGTTCTTAAAAAGTACTCTAAGCCATGTAAATAAGTTACCTGGGCAAGTCAGAGTATTGCTTTGACGAATTGCTTCGATTAAAATTTTTCCTTCACTGATCTCGATATTATAAAGAGTCAGGTACGTTAATGTGTTCTCTTGACTAATACTCTGAACAAGTTCATTATATGAAAAGCTTAGGGAAGTAATGTTCTATTTTTAATAAGAGATTCTTTTAAGCTATTCGAACTACCCCAGTGTTAAGTGTAAATTTGGCCCCTGTCTCGATCAGGACCTCGTGAGCATGTGACCTGTGGCTGTGTCACTGAAGAGTCACAAGTCACATATCGACAACTTAAAGAAGACTTGATTAACGTGACGTACGACTCCGCAACAGATCGGCCGAACCTTGGAACCGTATAACTGAGAATGATCGAAGGATAATCGTCCCACAGATTTTTGTACCATTACCTAAAGCATATTATCATACATATATGCTTATTACCTGAATAGTAAATACTATACAAAACCTTGTTGCCTTATCAGTCCC